CCCCCCCCCCCACCCCCGCGCGCACCACACGCCCCCGCGCGCGCCCAGCCACCCACCGACCCGTCCCCAGCAGCCCGACCCCCCCCCCCCCCCACACACACACACTCCCTCCTCTCTCTCCCCCCCAGGTCTGCGCCGTGGACAAGTCTGCCCCCACAGTGATGTGTGTGCTGGCCCTGGGGGCGGCGCTGGGGCGGCAGCACGGCCCCCGGCTGAGCGCGGAGCGCGTTCTGCCCGCGCTGGTACCGCTGCTGGTGGCGCCCACCCTCACCTCCCAGCAGTTTGGCGCGGCCATGAAGACGGTCCGCGAGCTGCTGGGCGGCATAGAGAGGAGCAGAGCGGGGGCAGGCAGTGGCGCGGGGGCAGGCCCCGGCAGCGGTGTGGCACACGGCGGCGGCGGCGGCGGCGGAGGTGCGGGAGGCAGGCAGGCCGCGCCGCCGCCCGCCGACTGGATGGCGGCGACGGAGGTTGGGCCCCTGGGCAGCAGCAGCAGCCCCACCGGTACCGCCGGTACCGCCAGTACCACCAGGCCTGCCGCCCCCGCGCCCGCAGCAGGCGTGGCCAATGGCGGCAACCCGCTGGCGGGCCTGCAGCTGCAGGCGCCCGCCGCTCGGCCGGCCGCGCCCGCTGGCCCCGGCAGCGGCGGCGGCGGCGGCGGCTTTGGGGTGGCAGGCGGCAGGGTAGGGTCAGGCTGGCCCATAGGCCTGGCAGCAGGCAGCAGCCCGCTGGCACCAGCCGCCCCCGCCGCCTCGGCGCAGCCGGGGTGGGCCTTTGGCGGGGCCGGCGGCGGCGCCGCCGCAGCAGGCGGCGGCGGCTTTGGGGCGAGCCCAGGCGCCAGCCAGGGCGCCAGCAGCGGCGCCGCCTCGCTTGCCGACCCCTTTGCCGGCTTGCAGCTGGGCGGCGGCGGCGGCGGCAGCGGCCAGCGGCCCGCGGGGCAGGCGGCGCAGGCGCCGGGAAGCAGCGCAGGCGCCGCGGCAGCCTTCGACCCTTTTTCTTTGGGCGGCGGCGTTGCCGGCGGCGGTGGTGCGGTGCAGTGGCCCGCGCCGACGCCTGCACAGGCGCAGCCCCAGCAGCGGCCTGGCGCCGGGGCTGGCGGCTGGCAAGGAGGCTCCTTGATATGAGGGGCTGAGGGGCTGGCCGCTGCCCTCTTCCCTCTGTGTAATTCCCTCTTTGTGTGGAGATAGATTGCCAGCACAACATTGCCAGCACAACAGGCTGGGAGAGGAGGGAGCACTGTCGGACGGGGTGGTGGAGCCGCCGACCATGGGAGCCGCTTGCAGCCGGGGCAAGAAAGCTTTACATGATTGCAAGGTTGCACGCATTCAGGGTGCATTGGTTGGGGTGCTCTGAGGCCCCACACGGTGGCAGGCAATTATGAGGCGGGGGATGCTTACGGGCAGTAGTAATAGTATGGATCGCACTCCTCCGGATCTAGGGCGGGCGGCGAGGGCGGCTCCGGCGGCGCGTCATGCCACCAGCCGTCAGGCGGCGGCGAGGGCGGCGGCGGCGCGTGGGTGGCCCCCGCCCAGAAGGGCCCTGCCGCCACCATGCCCTGCACCTGCGCCAGCCGGAACCAGACGCCCTGCGGCGGTACCACCACCACCTGTAGCGCCTTGTCGTCAAACAGCACCTGGCCGGAAGCCGGGTCCGCCTTGTTGATGCTCCAGGCCAGCACATTGAGCCGCCGCACGGGCGGCGGCGGCGGCAGCTCGGGGCTCGGCGGCGGGCGCGGCGGCGGGCGCGGCGGCGAGGTCCCCGGCCGCGGCGGCGGCGGGCGCGGGCGCGGCGGCGGGTTGCGCGGCGGCGGCGGCCGGGGCGGCTTGGGCGGCGGGGGGGCCTGCAGCCACAGAATGGATGCCGGTCACAAGGGGCAGAGGAACGGGTGACGGTCGGCGCCGCTGCCTGTGCGCCTGCTATCGCCCCTGCCATCGCCCCTGCTATCGCCCGGCCGCACAACCATGCACTCGAGCTCCGCTGCCCAGAGAGGGGCCTGGCGCTGCGCGTCGCGCCTGCCAGCTGGCGCCAGGCTGGCGCGCGCTTCCTTTCCACAACCGGGGCCGGGCCTCACCATCCACACGTTCCTCACGTAGCGGTAGTACTCTAGGTCAAAGGTGATGGTGATGCGGGGGGAGTAGGCGGCGGCCACGGCGCGCGGCAGCGTGGGCATGTCGCCCCACCGCCCCGCAAAGTACTCGGCCTGCACCTCGCGGCTGGCCTGGGTGGCTGCAAAGGGGCCATCCCAGGTGGCGGCGTCCCACCAGGAGGAGTTGGGCAGCAGCTTGCCTGCGGGCGGGGCGAACAAAGCGGCGGGGTAGGGGCCGGTGCGCCGCCACCAGCGCGCAAAGGAAGGCAGGCGGGCACCCATGGCCGCCGGCCGCCGCCGGGGAGACGGGCGCCGCGCCCGCGCCCCCGCCACGCCCCAAACTGTGCATAGCAAGCCAGCACGGCAGCGGGCGGCGGCGCGCGGGGCGGCGCGGCCCGCGCCGCTCACCAAAGAAGAAGCCCTTTGCCGCAAACTCGAAGTTGGTCACGCCGTCCAACACATTGACCCGGGAGCTCAGGCCCTGGTCCACCGCCCCCACCATCAGGAAGTGCTTGTGGGGCCAGATGAT